TAGGCATGACTATTTCGAGTCATTAAATCATTATTTAAAACGCATCTCAATATCAGACATGCTGTCATTTTCAATGAAAGAAATCTCAGGAAAGCCAGCTATAAAGTCTGGTGTATCTTGGTATGAACCTTTATTTTATGCACGCTCGATTAAAAATCACCGCTGACTCGGAATTGACGAACTTTTGTATGTATCGTTTTAGTTTCCGGGCTTTTGACTTAACATTATTGTTTAGATTAAAGATCGCCCGTACAGAATCACTCATGTATTTGTCAAGCTTTACGTTTTTACGTTTCGAGATCTCTTTCATCGTTCGGAGAAGCCCGAATGACACAATAAATAAGTTTTGAGTTTTAAAGGATGCAAATTTTCACTACTATCGAAAAACATATTTTGGTACTGAGGACGCAAATGAAGCATGGTCAATTTAAATTGGACAGAATCCTATTTTAACTTTGATGCATATAAAATGCACTCAAAATGGGTACACTACAAAGACACGAACACACTGCCACAGTCACACCAATAGTGCCCACCGCCCACCACCCAATAATTCGAGTGTTGTACAATAATTTTCTTCTGTTTAGGGCTGGTGAGAGTTCGTTAATAAATACACTTTCCCAGATTTGAAGGTGTATTTTGTCATTGCACGTCCGTAAAATGTCAGTGTTTTCTGTCAGTTGGTACAGCAACTAGAACGATGCACACAGAACCTGGTCAATGCTGAGTCAGCGATCATTTTTAGCAGGGTGGGGAGTCCTGATCGGCCGTCTCCTTCACCTAGAATCGGACCATTCGAGTCTGTCGGCCCAGCCGTCGGATGTGTTTACAGCACCACCGACATATGTGACTTGTAGCGAGCTGTCGCGTCCCACGATTTCGCAGTGGGACGGTGACGTGTGGACTGGACAATGAACGTCGGATATTATATCAGATAAAGATGAGAACACGCTGGGAAGAACTTCTCCTAGTTCGCTTACTGAATGAGACCGCATAATCATGTGAGGGACGCATGTGTAATTCGTGAGTGGCACACAATGGCATTTCTTTTCGCTGTTGCACAGGTCTGCGCAGGAACCACCATCAGACTATTGGATTTTTCTGATTGGAAGAATTTTTGATGGAGAGATGGGAGCGTGAGAACAAAGCAATAGAACGGTGGTGCAGATTGTGTACCGCCCATTTATAAATTGTTTATGATGTAATAAATGCATTATATTTTAGAAAGGTTGGAGCCTCTATGTGTCACCTGACGAAGCCTCGCGGGTGGTGTTTGAGGTTGGAGCCTCTATGTGTCACCTGACGAAGCCTCGCGGGTGGTGTTTGAGGTTGGAGCCTCTATGTGTCACCTGACGAAGCTCGCGTGTATTTGAGGTTGGACCTCTATTGTCACCTGAACGAAGCCCGCGTGTGGTATTTGAGGTTGGAGCCTCTATGTGTCACCTGACGAAGCCTCGCGGGTGGTATTTGAGGTTGGAGCCTCCATGTGTCACCTGACGAAGCCTCGCGGGTGGTATTTGAGGTTGGAGCCTCCATGTGTCACCTGACGAAGCCTCGCGGGTGGTATTTGAGGTTGGAGCTCCATGTGTCACCTGAACGAACCTCGCGGGTGTTATTTGTCCCTGACGAAGCCCTCGCGGGTGGTATTTGGAGGTTGAGCCTCTATGTAGTCACCTGACGAAGCTTCGCAGGGTGGTATTTGAGGTTGGAGCCTCTATGTATCACCTGACGAAGCCTCGCGGGTGGTATTTGAGGTTGGAGCCTCTATGTGTCACCTGACGAAGCCTCGCGGGTGGTATTTGAGGTTGGAGCCTCTATGTGTCACCTGACGAAGCCTCGCGGGTGGTATTTGAGGTGTCTTGGCATGGCATCCATGGTCCGGATCATGGGACTGAAATAGCGAAGCAGGCGCGGTCGAAAAGTCAGACACACACGTTAGATAACGGGCAGAAAGGTGTGGTGACCGGTCCCTGGCAACTTCCGGCTTGCTTACAGTGCATTTGATATAATTATAGGCCTCTCGTTTCAAGCGTGTAAGCTGAGCTGGCCTGCTGGGGCAAAACGAAACACCGCATTGCACCAAAGGATCTGAGAATGCTGCATGCACCGTCGCACTAACTCACGTGGAAACGACCACTTGCTTCCAGCCACTGCATTGTTCCAGCAAGTCCCTAGTCAACGTCGCGAGGCATTGTCATCAAGCGAACGGAAACCGCCTTTATAACTGGTGTATAGCGCTGTATTTTGGGTGCGACTGTTGCGTAAAGGAACGCATCAAAGTGCATGAATCGCCGGATGTCGCCAACTTCGGTAAAGCAGCGCAGTAGCGCCTTGGCCAGCGCGAGTTAGTTATTGCTGTGGTGGATTCTCGGCCATCACGAAGTGTCTTGGATAGCTTTAGCGCATCGGTGCCATCCACACGCGTAGTCGTGCCCAGAGAGGTCATTCGCATGACAACAATATGATAACGCGACAAGCGTTATCTTATATATATATATATATATATATATATATATATATATATATATATATATATATATATATATCTCTCTCTCTCTCTCATCTCTCCTCTCTCTCATCTCTCTCTCTCTCTCTCTCTCTCTCTCTCCTCTCTCCTCTCCTCTCTCTCTCTCTCTCTCTCTCTCTCTCTCTCCTCTCTCTCCTCATCTCTCTCTCTCTCTCTCCTCTCTCTCTCTCTCCTCTCCTCTCTCTCCTCCCTCTCTCCTCTCTCTCTCCTCTCTCTCTCTCTCTCTCTCTCTCTCTCTCTCTCTCTCTCTCTCTTACTCATTCCTTTATTTGCTCTGGTTGCGGAGATCTCGCATCTATCGTGAAACTGCTCCATGGCATTCGTATCCGTGGGTTGTCCATGACCGTTGTGAAGGAAGGCCTTCGCAGCGATGAAAAAGCTACCGAGTTACAAGATATGATCGGTGACAAAATAAACATTTTTGCGAGTTACTTAGTGAAAAAGGACACTATTGCCGGCTTTTTAGTGGCAAAAATGTGAAAATGGAAACAAATTGCAACGGACCATCCCAGTTAAACGAGAGTCAAAGCCTTGGATCAGTCCATAATCGATAACGTTAGCAGGGTAAGCGTGTGTAGAGCTCATGTCGATGCATTGGCGCGTCGCTGAGTGAGTACATTCAGCTACAAAATACTTCCAAGCACAGTTGCTTTAATCAGAATAGTTTTTAGCAGGTGACAGAAATTTACTTCAAGTAATTCTATACCACTGCTGATGTCATAGATCCGTGATGAGTAACACAATGCATTTCCAGCGCCCCGGTGATCGGCAACTTTTACATAGTTTTTTTGGCCAAGATTCACTTTACATGCTAAACTGGGTAATATACCAGCTAACTAGGCCTATTATTAGTTGTAAAAATCGTGGCTGGCATCAGCACCTTGCGACGAACGTCATTAGTCCGCTACGCGGAGTTTTGAATCGGCGTGTCATTGGAGACAGATGGCTTCGATTGCTCGCCACACGGCTGTGATTTGGTTTCAGCGCAAGGCTGTAGGCTGCTGCTGGTTGTGTTCGTGTCGTCGAAAGAACTTTAACCGGCTTGTATGACATAACTGATTGTCAGTCTCTTTAAAGGAAGTCTCCCACCTTTGAGGCATATTTGAAAACAAGACTCTGGTGAAACCTTAGGGCCAGTTACGTCTAATCATAGCCCTGGGCCGTGTCACTGCAGCATCGTGAAGGCAAGAGAACCTTTTTTAATTGTCGAGTTCAAATGACGCTGTCAAAGATTTGTAACAGCACTACGCTGCTTCCCTGCAGTCGCGACCACCGTTGTCATGACAGCCGCCATGCGCACCTCTACTGGTGCGAATAAAAGCACAGTTGTGATTGGCCCAGCGTGTGGCAAGGGCCTGTTATCAAAAATCGCACTGGTTTAAGTTTGAACCAGTGCGTCACTTTGGGCCATATGATGCTCCCATTCCCAAAGCGAAAGTGTGTCTCGACATGAACCATTGAATAACTGGAAAAAAATAATGCTTAAACGACCGCTTGGAGTAAATTGCCGGCGCTCTTCAATTTCAATGGTCCAGTGTAATTTAAGGTCCGCTGCGCTGGTCACGCACGCACTGAGACCTATGCCCTAGCCACTAGAACTTTTAGCAAGACCGGCAAATGATACTTAAGTGCAAATGAAACGTCCGGAACTACAATATTTATGACGTTTATGACCCATTGCATTTTATTGTCCTTTGTTTTGTGTGGCTTATCGTTTTCAGCACAACGGTTCCTTATACATTTGACTCCAGGTGACAATTTAGGGTGTCCCAAGTGTGGTCACTGACAGAACAGACCCTTTTCATCCTTCGGCCCAGACATTTTGCCAGTACGACTGTCTGTGTTCTCATCCATCATGACCTTTAGCCCCTCATTGCGGTGGCGCCTGGTAGTCGGGATCTAAGCATGGCTCCTATTCACCTTTTCAGCATTTTGTAATTTAAAATGTTGTACTTTTCCACAGTAATCCAATGGGGAATGCGAAGCCGAAATATTGATATGCTGCAGGGAGACCTTTCCTGACGAAGCAAGTGCGCGCGAATTTCCACCTACGCCGTTAAACATTGCGTTTTTACTGACACTGTCCTGCTTTTTTTATCAGTAGCTCGAAGGGTGATAGGTTCGAGAACGTGTGATAGACGGGCCGGTCCATACATTTGAAAATATTCTCATAGTTGAAATAAACTGTCTCGGTCTTCGGCATGAAAGTGTTTTTGCTGTGCACGTTATGCATTGTTGTGGGGCTTACGTGATGAAAATCGCGTATTAATGATGTTTGCGTACTGTTGTATTGATGAGCCATCCACGAAAATGTATTGACTTCATCTCTTGAGTACAACTATTTTCGAGATACGAAAGATCCTATGTGGTAATCGTGGGAGTATTCAGCAGGTCACTTTCCTTAGGAACCATAGACGCCACCGCCTGCTGACGTCGTTGGCCGGCCACTGACCTGGGCCGTTCGATTTCGCAGCGCCTGACATGGAGGATCCGCGCGTGTACACGGGACGGTACCGGCCCGAGGAGCTGAGCAAGCTGGCGCAGAACTCCCGCTTCACACGCAAGGAGATCCAGCTGATGTACCGCGGCTTCAAACAGGTCTCACCGGCTTCGGGCAGGCGTCGAGGTCGTGCTGCCATGGGGGCGCGTGCATCGCAGCCGATGAACGATACGTTTGTCGTGACGCACGTCGAAGCGCGTTTCGTGCGGGCGGGTATCCCGTGCAGCAATTAAACGTCAATGCTTTGATTTGATGGGATGTTGGTTGCGTGTGAAGACCAGGCCGTATCAACGCTGCAGGCTATCGATGTCCCGATGGAGCCAATCCGTTCTTTGCACGGCACCTTGACCCATTCGGCGTTCGTGATGACGTTTAATCTGGCACGGTTGAATGCAATTCTCCCGTCCAAGTTTTCGAAAAGCCTTATGAAGTACGTTTCGTTACACAAAAGTTTGCAACTTTTCCAGTTACCTAAATGTTCAGCGAGCCTAATCAAGTGTTCTGACTACGAAATTGCAAGTTCCCTGTTTAGCGAGACTCATTTCATCAGAGAGCGCAGAAGACTGCAGCGTTCGTCAGCCCCGGCGCCACCAGCGGCCACCACCCACCCAGGCGCCCACCCTTCTCCGCTCTTCAGGTCCTGGGAAGTAGTCTACCCGGTGGGGCCGGGACCGACGCGGCGCCCTCGATCCAGAGATGCGAGCTGCGATCCCGCCTGGCGCTGGCCGCGCCTCAGTCGGCTGGAGTTCCGCTGCGGCATGATTGCGTGTCTGGGTCCATCTCCTCCGGTCATGCGAGCAGGACGCGGCCCCAAACCGCCGACACATGGTCCGAACCGCACGAATCGGAAATGATGGCGGCGTTATCAACTGGTGGGAGTCACGTCTTCTACTGGACATTTCATCGGGAAATGTTAAAGACAGGCTATGTTTACCTTACTTGTGGTGACCCCGTGGTGCCTCAAGCAACTTGTCTTGAATTGCCCTAATTTTTATGTCGGCTGCTCTCAAAGTAGCAGGCATCAGCACCGCAAATCCGCTCGAAGAATTTGCATTATTGCTGCAAAAAGTATGCTCATCAAATCTCATAGCTTCCATGCAAATTACCACACACCGCGAACTTGCGCGCGCATCTCCAGACACCCATAGAGTCCATCACACTCCAGCCGACCTCTGACCGGTTGCCTTAAGGCGCTGCTCTTATTCAGTGCACGCCTCACTAATCACTTGGTCTGGAGGGGACTTCCGCCAGACGGCGGCCTTGGCAGCCCAGTGCCCGGCCGTGGGCGGCGAGCATGGGCCGGCAGCACCTCGCGCTGACAGGTAGGTCATTGGCATCAATTTACAACAACTGCGGCTGCGATAATCCGGCGGTTGGCAAGCGCCGAACTAAATGACCCGTCACGGATCCCCCTGTGTCCCACCGCTCTCGGCTCTCGAGACGGCGAGACGACACCCAGAGTGGTCTGAGGCGAGCCTCAGAGCGGTCCGAGACGAGCCCCAGAGCGGTCCGAGACGAGCCTCAAAGCGGCCCGAGACGAACCCCAGAGCGGCCCGAGGCGAGCCTCAAAGCGGTCCGAGACGACACCCAGAGCGGTCCGAGGCGAGCCCCAAAGCGATCTGACGCGAGCCCCAGAGCGGTCTGAGGCGAACCCCAGAGCGGCCCGAGACGAGCCTCAAAGTGGTCCGAGACGAACCCCAGAACGGTCCGAGGCGAGCCCAAAGCCATCCGAAGCAAACCCCAGAGCGGTCCGAGGCGAGCCTCAAAGCGACCCGACGCGGGCCCCAGAGCGATCCTAGGCGAGCCCCAGAGAGGTCTGAGGCGAGCCCCAGAGCGGTTGGAGGCGAGCCCCGTAGTGGTCCGAGGCGAGCCCCAGAGCGGTCCGAGACGAGCCCCAGAGCGGTTGGAGGCGAGCCCCACAGTGGTGCGAGACGAGCCCCAGAGCGGTCCGAGACGAGTCCCGCCCGCCAGCGGGGTGACGTCTCGGGACCCGCCCCGCGAGCCGGCCACGGAGCCGCCGCCGCGGGCGTATCTGCCCCGGGTGCATAGCAGCGGCCGGCGCCGACTAGGAGGATGCCGTAACCGTGGCTCCGCGTGACAGAACAGATGAAGCCATTATCAGCCAATCAGCCGATCCGACAGTCGTTGCCGACATCTGATGTCAGCAGCGCAGCGCAGCGCGTCGATAACAATATCACCGCTGTGTGAGAATGATCTGGCAGAGCCAGCCGACATGTCGCCCTGAAACTTGCGGCGTACACGGAGACCACTGGCTGAATAGAGCCGGGACGATTTGTTGCAGGAGTGTCCCACTGGCCTGGTGGACGAGGCTGCCTTCAAACTCATTTTCGCCCAGTACTTTCCACAAGGAGGTAAGTACAGCGAGGCCAACCGTTCGAGGGATTAAGATGGAACATTGACGCGTTTCCTGCAGCGTACTGAATCTCCTGGTAGACAAGCTTGCACCCATCTGGTAGCATCTCGCTGGTTATTCTGGCCTCAAAGGACCAAATACCCAGCTATTTTGTCAAATGATAAGCGTGGTAATGCTTTTTAGTACGCATTGCAGCGAAGAAATTGCCAAATTTTTGGCTCAACTATAAGTTGTTATGCATTCTTAACAGCTAACATTTTAACTGCCTTTTTGCCATTATGAACTGCACTTTGGAGCACAGCATCGCTGTTCTGTAACGCACCTTATGTTCTATGTGCGTGGATCAAACAAAGCAAGTCCACCAATGTCTGTGAATGGCCAGAATTATAAAGGTCGCGGCTTACAGATCGCCGCTTGTAGATCGCAGCTTAACGAAACGTCCTCTATGTCGCTCATTTATTGGGAATATACTGCTGCTTCATGGACATATGCATAGAGGCCTGGCCAAGAGGGTCCCATCCCCCTCAGACCTGCGTTTCTGTTATTTTAGCACTGTAGGGTGAGTTCTGACAGCAAGAGATCAACGTGCGCTTTGAGTTGGATAGTGCAGTGACATCCATTGCAATTGAGCGAATATGCGCACATCTATCTTCTTTCTCGTCCTGAACAATTGTGAACCCCGGCATCGTCTAGAAAATGCGTCAATGTTTACATGTGTATGACTCGCTTGTACTTATGTTGCAGATGCGAACCAGTACGCTCATTACGTATTCAACACGCTTAAGCCAAATCAGTGCGGCCAAATCAACTTTGAGGTGAGATTCCCGTTTCCTACACCGGGACTGCCCGGCTTCTGCAGCCAGTTACATCGTTAACGTTGAATAACTGTCAAAGTTTGTGAGCTGAGCACGTCTGTAGCCTGGTAGGGCCCGTTCCCACTAGTTGGAATGTCTCAACGGGTTATCCGGCTGAACAGAATAAGCTGCTGTCCTGCCCACGTTTGTCAGATACCAAAGAGGCCAGCGAGGCCAAAAGCGTAACAGGATGTAGCAGTCCTGCCTTCAGACCATGAGCAGTAGCGAAAAAGTGTTGGAAATGGCAGAGGGAAAGACGGATTTTGTGGTGTGAAGTGAGTCGACAGGAAAAATACCGATGAAAGGCAAAATCGAAATGTAGATTGACGCCGAGAGAGAGAGAGAGAGAGAGAGAGAGAGAGAGAGAGAGAGAGAGAGGAGAGAGAGAGAGAGAAGAGAGAGAGAGAGAGAGAGAGAGAGAAGAGATGAGAGAGAGAGAGAGAGAGAGAGAGAGAGAGAGATAGGAGAGAGAGAGAAGAGAGAGAGAGAGAGAGAGAGAGAGAGGAGAAGAGAGGAGAGAGATAGAGAGAGAGAGAGAGAGAGAAGATAGAGAGAGAGAGAGAGAGAGAGAGAGAGAGGAGAGAGAGAGAGAGAGAGAGAGGAGAGAGAATAGAGAGAGAGAGAGAGGAGAGAGATAGAGAGAGAGAGAGAGAGAGA